GACCAGAATGACCAGAACAAACATCCAATAGGAATTATCGCAGTTTTTATAATCATCCTGTAGAATCTCATTCAAAAGAGATGCAATAATCATTTTTGTAGGCTCGATAGTCAATGAAACCAACATTCAGAAACTTTAATAGTTATTTATGTATCAAGGGCGTAAAGTAGGCGTTTATGGCCTGTGGCGTGAATAATGGCCCTCGGCTAGCGCCATCGGGCCATTACACGCTGAAGGCCATAAACGCATTTCACGCACGAGATACATACAAAATTTTATGCACTAGTGGTTTATTTTCTGACTCCCCAGAATTTAATTCGTTACGTATAAATTCAGTAATCAAGAAAAGCGTAATGTTCATGGATGATTTACATATGAAAATTATCGTACGAATATTGCAATTATCGTAATAGTAAAACTCTTTCGGCCATGGACGTATAAACGAAGAGATTCATTCTTCAGAATTTTACAATATGCATACCCAGTATATAAACCTAACTTATTTTGACGTTGTCAATCAATTTGATGGTAGTTGTCAATAGCAATACATGCAATAAACGAGCTGAGTTGTCATTCTTTGATTGAAAAGTAAAATTAGTGATAATAATAATAGTGAGACTATGGAATCGGATGAAAAAGAAGTTTATGATATACCGCTGGATATATCAGAAACTAGGGATATGATCATAGGTTTTTCATAAATTGATATGTGGATATAAGGTGACTGAGAACAGCGGGCGGTAAAGTGTACTTTACGGCCCGCTAGTGCATAAAGAAATTGATGATCGGTTAACGCAGTCGAAAATAACAATGAATCAAACTTGATCGAAAAATTTCGATCTGACGTTTCGAGTGTTGAGCAGTGTATCCACCTTCAGAGCGGAACGTCTTGAGGGGGCCACCTGGTATTGTTTCAATAATTAATGAGATTGAAAGCTATCGGAATGAAAGACCATTGAGAGACCGGCATGTGTTGTTTTTTTTTTTAAAAGGCTACTCTCATGATACAATTCGATAAATAATTCATAAAAATGTTTCCTGCATCCTGCATTCAGCGAACCACTACTTCAATGGTAGCATAAAATTTTATGGCAGTTATAGATTCTTTTTTTTTTCTCACTCGTTTCGTAGGAACGTGCCATGAAGCAGCTGCACATTTCTGCAATAAAGACAAAGGGCAAATATCCAATTTTCTTTTATATCCCTCAGTATATCTGCTACAGTCTCTTTATCTTTATTTCTTGCAGGAGGCAGTCCGTGTCAGTCGTATTTTGGGCTGCTTCGCTGCTTCGAAGAATTACTTGATAACATATAAGTTCGTCCAGAGGTTGACAGGAGAGCTAAAGGTGGATTCATGCACACCGCTTTTTTATTAATCTGTTGCTTTCATTAACTGTCTTTAATAGTAGATTGTTTTATTAGGATCAAAAGTGGCACTTTGTTTGACAAGCGAATTTTGCATTTGCGAGGCGGAACGTTTAGCGAAGCCGAGCGAAAGCAAAATTTGCGAGTCGAACAAAGTCACTTTTGATCCGAATGAAACATGCTATTTTTTCTGCAACCGAAAGAATTAACTCAAATAAACATGTGAAGTAACCACCAACGCCGTGCCATATGTATGCAATGCAACAAATATTGAAAAATAATCCATGTGGTGCATTAACAGCAGGTTAAGTGTTCTAGGATGCTCGAATTGTAGTTTCAATATAAATATACAACCACAGAGTGACATATTTGTGTATGGACCAGAGGTGCTCTAATGGCAAATACCGCGCCAGTGCCAGCTATAGGAACAAGACGTGGAAAATATTAGATTAGTGAGCATATCAACAATGATGATAGTGATTATTTAATCCTCTCCATACTACACTGTGTTTGACTTGATAATCAAATGAAGCTAAACAATATCGTTGTTTGAGACAAAAAAAACTATTGCTTGCCGTGATTATTCAAAAACAAGTTATCCATCCCGAGAATAACGAATGAAATACAGATCAAGCAAGTATTTGAATCTTGAAGGATTCCCTGATTGAAACAAAAATACTTAACTGAGATGTTTATAATTCCAATACTAAACTATAATAAGGTGTATTTATATCTCTAGCATGGGTATGAAATGCCAAATCTGCTGAAATCGGAAACAAATCAGGTATGCGTCTCACCCAAATAACCAACCATCCCAATGTTGTTTATTCTTGATGACGTCCAGTACATCCTTTTTAGTTCCTAGGAGCTAAAGTTCAACTTTAGCTCCTAGGAATTAAAATTCAACTTTAGCTCCTAGGAACTAAATATGTTGCCTAGCAACATACCTATTTTTGTGTCAGTAATAGAATCGTCAATTTAAGAACTAATTTTGGTATCCAAATTGAAGACTTTTGTGTCGGTTGCAGAAAAAGTTTATTTTCATTTTAAGGACGATACCTTTATCACCTTGTTGATCAAAACTTAGGACTCAGCGTACTTAGCCCGATGAAAATATTTGTGTTATAACCTCAGTTATAACATTCAGTGATCACATGATTACAATAAGAATCATTAATTCATATTGTTTTTAGAGTCTAGCTTGAACAAACGACTAGAATTTTTAGAATTTTCAACCACATTTTGGAAAAAGAAGAGGAAGACATTGTTTGTCAGACTTATGACAGAATGGCGCCAGCGCAATTTGTCGACAAATACAAATAAAACTGTGACTTGCGCAGGCGCCATTCTATCAGAAGTTAAATAAACAATTTCTTCCTCTTCTTTTTCCATGATGTGCTTGGATATTCTGGAGATTCTAATAATTCTAGTCGTTTGTTGAAATTAGACTTTTAAAACAATATGAATGAATGATTCCTATTGTAATTATGTGATCACTGATTATAACACAAATATTTCCATCGAGCTAAGTACGCAAAGGACTATGTTTTGATCAACAAGAGTTCAAAAGCAAAAGAAGCCGGTGCATAAAGGTATCATAGTCCTTAAATAAAAATGAACTTAATGGCAGTCAATAAAAGCAACAGATTAGTGAGAAAGCGGTGTGCATAAATCCACCTCAACACTCTATACATTAAAATTAACTTAAATTCAAATAGTCAATAGTATGTAGATTCTGATAACCCAAAAAAACTTTTGATATAGCTCTAGTAAAGATCAATGACCTTCCACATTTCGAATGGAAACAAACCAAAACCATCAAGACCTTCCTTTGTACGATGGAACAAATGACGCCTCTAACAAACTTGTTTCAAATGTAATTCCAATTTTTTTTTCGAATAGTTACTCGAGTCGAGACAGTTACGCTATTATTCTCAACTTAGGTTCATACTTCGTGACCGGTCTCGTATTATTATTACAATATTTTTATTTCTGGACATGACATCGCTTGCCGGTCAGCAATCATCTAAATAAATTACGTAATTTCAACTTTCGATTATTCCAATTCCGCTTTAATCTTCTTAGTTTTCCATCTCAATGTCGAATTGTGCCACAGGCGATTGAGTAATGCGACTCGAATTTTGTGATAATATATGTAAACAAAAACGATGAGTGATAGAACGGATATTAATTAATGTAAAAACTTCACAAACGATGAGATTTCCACAAAATTCTCAGATACACGACATGTTTCGCTAACCACTGTTCAAATGTCCATGCGGTAGGCACAAACACACGGAGTTCAATCATTCAAATTGTTTTAAAGTGTTTTAAAGTACTTTGTTCAATTTTTGGGATGAATTTTCTCGTTAATTAGAAGAATTATAAAAAATCTGATATCATGGGAATATACCTTAGACTGTTTCATATATTAATCTCTGAATTCGTTGATTTCTAATGATTCAAAATGATTGGGTTTTATTCTATTATTTTCTACGAGTAGAATTTCGAAATTGTCATCAAAAGTATGGTTTTCTTCTGATATATGCTTAGCGTATGTTGAATTTGTTTTCTTTTTCAAAAAATTCAGCTCATGTTCATGAATACGCTGATTAAACGTACGACCTGTCTGGCCGATATATACCTTAGGGCAAGATCCACAGTCGAGTTCGCATACAAGAAAATATTTCTGGAAATAGCACTGCAAAGAAAAATATTTCTGGGTAGAAGTACATAATGCGAGAAATAATTGCACATATCTAGTAAATAAATAAATATTTTTGAATACTTGGAAGAGAAGATGAAAATACAAAAGAAAAAATATTGGAAAAAATCCCATAAATATTTCATCCAATTAGGAGCACGTCGAAATTTTCGATATTTTGCAGAGGTTTGTTTGTCACCCTGTATAATAATATATACCCAATGAATTCATCTTCGAAATGAAAATAAAACCGCATCAAAATATGGACATCTCTCGAAAATATGCATGTTGCATGGATATGGCGCCAAAATGTCTGAATTTCGTGCAAAATAGTTCGAATACAGTACAAATATGTTTGAATTTAGTACTGAAATGTTTGAATTTAATGCGAAAACATTGTATTTAGTGCGAAAATGTTCTAATCATGTGCAAAATGTTTGAATTTAGTTCGAGAATGTTCGAAACAAGTGCAAAAATGTTTGAATTTAGTGCGAAAATATTCGAATCTAGTTCAAAAATGTTTGAATTCAGTGTGAATTTTTTCTAATGGGGAGCTAAAATGTTTGAAACCTAGTTGGAAAATGTGTGAATTTAGTACAGAAATGTTTCAATTTAATGCGAAATTTTTTAAAATTAGTACGATACTATTTGATTCGAGTACAGAAATGTTTTGGATCAAGCGTAAAAATGTTTGAATTGAGTGCAAAAATGTTTCAATTAACTGCAGAAATGTTTGAAATTAGTGTAAAATTTTCCGAATGAAGAACACAAATTTATTAATTTAGAGCGAAAATGTTTGAATTAAGTACAAAAATGTTAGAATTTAGTGCGAACAAATTTTAATTTAGTGCAAAAATGTTTGGATTCAGTGCAAAAATAGATTGATCAGCAGTTTAGTTACTCTGAGGACGAAACCAACCAACCAACCAACCTGCAGCTCCAGGGCGGGACACGACCCGTACCGTCGTCTGCTAGTCGCCACCTCCCACCACGGCACGTCGGGGTTGCCCAAGGGCGAGGGCGAGGTAGACGAGGGCGGCCATCCTCCCACACGCGCCGAATGCTCGGGCACGCTGGCCAGCGAGGGGGGGCGCGGGGGCTTGCGAGGCGCACCGACTCGCGGTCGGCGCACCGTCGCGAAGCCGTCGTACACCGTGGACACGGGCATCGCGCACTGAATCATCAAGCTGGGTCGCACTGGATCGTCAAGCGGGGGCGTGCTAGTTCATTTATCGGGGCGCACTGGATCATTTAGCGGGGGCGCACGGAATCATATATCGGGGCGTACTGGAACATTTAGCGGGGCACATTGGATCATTTAGCGGGGCTGCACTGGATCTTTTAGCGGGGGCGCACTGTATCATTTATCGGGGTCGCACTATACCTTTTCAATTTCAATTTCAGAATTGGTAAGTTATAATTCGGAACAGGTAAACTTGGTTTCAGAAATGGTTGACTCAATTCCAGAATCGGTGAGTTGAATTTCAGAAAATGTCCATTCAATTTCAGAAATGGTAAGTTATATTTCAGAATTGGTTAGTTCAATTTCAGAAAGAGAAGTTCAACTTGAAATAAATAATCCTGATTACACATTCACTATCGTGAATTGAATAAGTCACTGAATTAATCTTAGTTCATTGGATGATGAGCGTGCGTTTAAAATTTAATTGGAGCTGAAATCTACTACTTTTTTTCCTTGTATAATAAATAACTATATATATTTAACATACAGTTGCGAATGAATGATTTTATACCTTTTCAACTTCAATTTCGGAAAAAGTAATCTCGATTTCAGAATCGGTGAGATGAATTTCAGAAAAAGTCCATTCAATTTCAGAAATGGTAAGTTGTATTTCAGAATTGGTAGGTTCAATTTCAGAAAAAAAATACTTATATTTGTTCGAAATGTTTCCAATTGTATGTGAGATTAACAAACCATATTTACAATATTCAACTTGTCAAAAACAATTCAATAACATAATTATAATCTCAATTTAATCCACAGATGCCTTCCATCCGAATCGCTGGAAGATAGCGTTGCACATGATTATGAGAATGCGAACACATTTGAGGTGTTATCATTTTCATTGAATGATTTGCACATTCCTCAAGACATCGCAGTCTGAATTCTATCTGGTTGAGCAAGCTGTTCGGATCCCCAGCTATGACCCTTTGGCGATGCTCTTGCAAGGAGCTCTTCACTTCTGACTTGAAGGCACCCCATATATGTTCAATCTGATTCAACATAGGGCTCTCAAACACCGTTCATCCACTGTAAACAATCTTCTCTTTTGCAATTAAAAACCTTTCAAACATAATATAAAAGGATTTCATCTTCTGAAATTGAACATACCAATAATAATTCTGAAATACAACTTACCATTTCTGAAATTGAATGGACTTTTTCTGAAATTCATCTCACCGATTCTGAAATTGAGTTTACCATTTCTGAAATCGAACTAACCAATTCTGAAATCGAGATTACTTTTTCCGAAATATAACTCACCGATTCCGAAATTGAAGTTGAAAAGGTATAGACCAATACTTTTCCAGATCTGGTTGAGCTTTATCTGTATAGAGAAATTTCAGGTGCTTAATATCATCGTATTTGCTTTTAAACTCTCAAGTTCAAGTGTTTCCGTCTTTATCGTGACTCTATTAATATTGAGGCAAATACGATTTTAGGAAAGCAGACTATAGAAAGCAGACCATTCAAAAACTTCAAATCATGTTTCAAGATATGGCGCCTAAGCATACTCGTCCTATCCAGATAACTATAATTGACTCTTCAATCCATTCAAGATGAATGCAATATCAATTTTTTAGTAGCTTTATTGAAACATGTAGTTCAGATTATTCCTATTAAAATTATACAGGGTGTTTCATATGTCGGTTGTGTTATATTCAGAACACTATACAGTGATAAAGTTCTATAATGTTGTTGATATCGGCATTATAATATACCTATATTGAGTAATGTTTCCACTAATGCTTATAAAATAGTTTTATAAATGAATAAAAAAGAACTCTAATCAAACTAATCACATGACCTCTAAACAACCATATCTCAGCGCCGAAATTGAATGTTATATAATTAATTGTATAATACCATACGAGTGTTACATAGTGAAAGATAAAATGTTGTTCTATAATGTAAGTGGTGAGAACGGTTGGACAACACTATTCTAGAAACATATTTTTATAAAATAAAACTGTTCTATTATACGCAGTAAATGGTGAAACAGTTCTAAATTTTTTTTGGATCGCTTGGAGCACCCGAAAGGGAATCCCTATATGTTCGAAGAACATCGTGCGTACCTAGGGAGGATAGGGAGAGGAGGTAGAAGATTATAAGTTCTTGGGAATACTTCCTTAGGCAATGAATTCTAGAGCTTTGCCGTTCTACAGATAGACAAAGGAGTTTTGCCAAAGGGCTGTTCCACATAAATATTATTTCGAGATTGACAACGAAATGATGTGCTGACTGAGCTTGTCGAATTCGTCTACTGGTATTGATAGTGATGGAATGATATCAGAGATTTCTGAAGAAGCTTTTCTGTGGAAGTATCTATAAAAAAGTGAAAGGTCAACGACTTTTCTACGGTGTTCCAATCGGCGTTTAATAATAATCAAAGAACAACAATAACACAAAAAAATGGATATATATATATATATATGAAGAAATTCATTGAGAATTCGCATTCTCCATGTGATGAAAATATTAATTCTTTCTCGGTTTATTCAACAGAAAACAACTACTTTCCTGGCTATATGCCATGACGAATATTGAATTACATCTATTGAACACACACGATAAGAATTTGAAAACAAAATCTTCTGAGGTAGAGAATTTGCATTCTCCTTCATATAAAGATATGCATATGATATCATTCTGAATTCAACAGAAAACAACTATTTTCCTGACTATTTGCCACGTCGAACATTGAATTATATCTGTTGAATATCCAAAAAGAGAGCATGAAAAATCAAAATCCGCTGAAATTGAGAATTTACATTATCTCTCAAATCGAATAGAATAATATGGTGTATTATGATATGAAAATATAACTTACCAATATGTTCAGTATTGAAATGAAAATCAAAATGTATAGGAGAAGTATTTATACTTGTATGAACTTTGATCTTGATGAGCTTGAAACTTCCAAAAAAATCATTCGTATCAGTGATATATATCACTCACAAACAGGTTATATGACTTCACTCGAGTAAAACTCATTTCGGATATCATATCCTCATCAGTAACCTGAAGTCCAGTTATTCTTTCAGCCATTCTCCATGATATACACAATTTTCATCTCCCTATATTAAAACTGAAGCTATAACGAACTGAAATTTGAGAATTATAATTTGTTGACATAACCACTGTCATCGGGCATTTGTTTTGGCATGTATGATAAATTGATATTTATCATACATCCAAAAATCAATGAATTAGTTACTTCTTTTTGTGTTTTTGTTCTACTTTGCCAGTAGTGTTAATGATTCATCAACATTTTTCGTAAGTAAAGCAATTCCAAGAAACTTATTTCTCATTTTCAACAACGCCCTATAACGATCTACATTTATTGAACGTTCACTCATTCTTTTGACACTTGAAGTGCGTCTCACATAATATGAAACACCCTGTACGTATGAGTATATTTTTATCGATCAAAACAAATTTTTTGTATCAGATAATACAGATTGATCTCAAATGGATTATGGATTAAGATTTCGAAATAACCCAAAAATCATTTATTGTAACCGGAGATAAGATAGCAGCACATCTAAAGACATCTAAAAGTGAACAAATATAATATTTCTAGAGGAAGCATTAATTGCTCTCACGTTATGTAATTATTATAACGGCATCCATTCAATCCGCTGAACTGACAACTGAAGCAAATGGACTCAGTGCCGATAACATCTCTAATTTCTCGTAGAACATCCTTATTAACCTTTTTGGTAGGAAAACAAGCTATAATTATCTACTCACCAAATGAAATTAATAAGCAATCAACGCTGAAGCATATTTTGAATGTCCAGCAGAGCCCATTAAGGAGAAAGTATAGAATTTTGCGGATATCAAACTCAAAAATTTGTCAGTGATTGTCTGACATCTACAGAGTGCCCGTTTTTCGTACGCCACCATGGGGATCTCAGTTATTATAAGAGTTAGATTAGATTAGATTAGATTTAGAATGGGGCCTTCGGGCTATCTGCCTCCACACCGCGACCTTTTCAGATCTATTGTGTCTGCCCTCAAAATCGATTAGAGTTCTTCGGCTAGCCCCGTCTTCTCTATGAGACTCCATAGGCTAGCTTTCAGATCCCCTGTGTATCTCTGGGCTTCTGGTTTTTCCTCACCCAGCGTAAGGAACCTTAGTCTTGACAAGCCCTCACAGTGGCAAAGTATGTGTACTGCTGTTTCCTCCTCTTCCTGACAGAACCTGCACAGCAGTTCTTCAGTCAGACCTATCGTACTCATGTGTTTGTTGAGCCTACAATGCCCTGTGAGAAGTCCCACTAGTATTCTAGTTGAACTTCGTTTCTGGCTTAGTAGATATTCTGTGAATGTTGGCGATGGTTTTTTAATAAACTCTTTTGCCTGTCTCATTCCTGGCGATTTGTTCCACCATTCTTGAGATTTGGTTTGCATCCATGATTTTATACTAGTCTTTTGTATAGCTTTCGCAATACCACAGAAGGGTTCTGGGCCATTCAGAGCTTTGTTTGCTCCTGCTCGGGCAAGTGAGTCTGCCTCTTCATTGCCCTCGTACCCTGTATGTGCTGGTACCCATGCTAGAGTCAGTCTGTTCTGACTGCCCAGTGCATTTAGGGTTTCTAAGCAGTCCCATACTAGTTTTGAGTTAACTTGCATAGAGTTGACTGCTTTGATTGCCGCCTGGCTATCTGAATAGATTGCAATGGTTTTGCCTTTAAACTCTTGCCTTATCAATTCTTTCACGCAATGATGTATTGCAATAATTTCTGCCTGAAACACCGTCGCGTATTTACCTAAGCTCAGTGAGCTTAGTGAGCTGAGTGAGTTACGGAGTCGGCATTTTCATGCTGAAAATTTATCTGCAAGAAAATTCGATATGTCATTTTCAGGTTTTGAATTATTCGAAGAGAACGGAAATTTGTAATTTTCGTTTTCATTTTTTCAAGCGAAAACCAAAATACCTAGACGTTTGTGACTAGGACATTCATGAGGCACTTTTTCACAAGGAATTTGAATCTGTCGTCGTATTTTCCATGACGTTCCTGATGCCAAAGTTACAACAGTCAACTTTGTTTTTCTTATGGGGCCATATTGAAGTCTTTTTTTTTCTGATTACAATGATGTATCACTGTCGAAATTCAGCTTGTTAAACAAATCTG